GGGGAGGCCATGAAAATGGCCCAACTGGTGGAAAATCAAAGGAATTTGGAGAGGGGAGCCAGGAGTAGCAGCACTGCGGGCACTTACAGGATGACGACTACTCATCTAGCACCTAAAGGTCCTGCAACATGAGGGAGTCAAGAGGCCACCAAGGAGAAGACAGGAGGAGGAAGCGAGAGAAATTTCAAGCGACTAACGGAGAAAGAGATGCAGAAGAAGATGGCTAAGGGGTTGTGCTTCAGATGCGATGAAAAGTACACACCGGAGCATCAGTGCAAGGATCGAACACTTCAGGTTCTCACCGTCTGTGATGACGAGAAAACTGAGGGAGGTGAGGAGGAAACAGAGGAGGAGATAGAGGAGAAGCTACGCTTGGATCTGGATGAGGTTTCCCTAAACTCAATAGTTGGATTCACTATGAATCATACAATGAAGGTGAAGGGAGGGAGAGAGGATAGGGAGATGGTGGTGCTAATTGATAGTGGGGCTACTCATAATTTCATTTTCACCCAAGTCGTCGACCAACTCAGAGAGAGATTGGTGGATATCGACTGTTACGGGGTGATGATGGGTACGAGGAAGGTGGAGAAAGGTCAGGGGATTTGCAGAGGAGTGCGACTGACGATCCAGGGGATACAGGTGAGGGAAGATTTCTTCCACTAGAGCTTGGGAGTACATACATCATCCTGGGGATGAAATGGATGCAAACTTTGGGAGACACCAAAGTGAATTGGGGAGCACTCACGATAAAGTTGATGGTGGATGGAAGGAAGGTGGTGATTAAAGGAGATGCGGTGCTCTCCAAATTCTTGGTTTCTCTTAAAACGATGGTGAGGGACATTCAGTTGGCGGGCGAAGGGAATTTGGTGGAGCTGCACAATTTGGAGTGAGCGAGATTGGAGGAGGGAGGAGACATACCCCTCTCCATTTAGTCGTTGATTCAACAGTTCCAATATATTTTCCAACCACCTCAAGGATTGCCACCGCAGAGAGAGGAGCATGCCATCGTGTTGAAGGAGGGAGTGTCACCCATCAGTGTACGGCCTTATCGCTGCCCTCAGTTCCAGAAGGATGAAATCGAAAGGTTGATTAGAGAGATGCTAGAGGAAGAAATCATCAGACCAAGCATCAGCCCTTTCTCTAGCCCCGTTCTGTTGGTGAAAAAGAAAAATGGCAGCTGGTGTTTTTGTGTGGATTACAGAGCACTCAACAAGGAAACTGTACCTGACAAGTTTCCTATACCAGTCATTGACGAGCTGTTAAATGAAATGAGTGGGATCGTGATCTTCAACAAGATAGACTTGAAATCAGGTTACCATCAGATCCAGATGAAGGAGGATGTACCCAAGAGGGCCTTTAGAACTCATGAAGGATATTATGAGTTCCTGGTGATGCCATTTGGCCTCACCAATGCTCCCGCTACGTTACAGGCCCTTATGAATAAGGTTTTCAAACCTTATCTCAAATGATTTGTATTGGTATTCTTTGACGACATCCTGGTCTATAGTAAGACAGGGGAGGAGCATTGAGAGCAAGTGAAAAGGGTGTTAGAGGTACTGTAGGAGCACCAACTGAGGGCTAATTTGAATAAATGCTTCTTTGCACAAGCCAGTGTAGAGTACTTGGGTCATGTGGTATCAAAAGAAGGGGTGGCAGCATATCAATCCAAAATTGAGGCAATGCTAAAGTGGCCTATGCTAAAAAATCTGAAGGAGCTGAGGGGATTTCTAGGACTGACAGGTTACTACAAGAGGTTCATTAAGGGGTACAGCTCCATCGCAGGGCCACTCACTGAGTAGTTGTAGAAGGACGGGTTCCTATGGGGGGAGGCGACCACATCAGCCTTTGAGATCTTGAAGAAGGCGATGACTACGATGCCGGTCCTAGCTTTGCCAGATTTCACTCACACCTTCATTGTGGAGACAGATGTGTTCGGATATGGGCTGAGTGCAGTGTTTATGCAGAGTCGTAGGCCCATTGCCTATTTCAGCCAGGTATTGACTGCTAGAGCGCGACTGAAATCAATTTATGAGAGAGAATTAATTGCCATCTTTTTGGCCATCCAGAAATGGCGGCCCTACCTACTTGGGTGGCATTTCATTGTCCGGACCGATCAGTAGAGCTTGAAATACCTATTAGAACAGCGGATGGTGATGGAGGAACATCAAATGTGGCTGTCCAATTTGATAGGGTATGATTTTGAGATTCAGTATAGACCAGAGGTGGAGAACAAGGCAGTAGATGCTTTGTCTAGATGTATGGGGGAGTTGCAGGCAGTGGCACTATCCATTCCTTTGATGCTTGACTGGGAGGCCATCAGAGAAGAAAGTGTTAGAGATGAAGATTTGGGAAGGATCAGGGCAGATTTAATGAAAGAGGAGGGTAGCCACCTAGGGTACTCATTGGAGGGAGACAGACTGCTATATCAGGGAAGATTTGTGATGCCCCGTATCTCAATCCACATCCCAAATTTACTCCAGGAATTTCATGGAAGTGCAGTTGGAGGCCATTCAGGAGTGCAGAAGATCTACATGAAACTAGCAGCCGATCTTTACTGGAAGGGAATGCATAGAGATGTAGAGGAGATGGTGGGGAGGTGTGAGATTTGTCAGAGGAACAAATATCTGGCTATGTCACCAGGGGGACTACTACAGCCGTTGGTGTTACCAGGACGAGTATGGGAGGAGATATCCATGGACTTCATAGATGGGATGTCCCATTCAAAAGGCTTCACAATGATCTTGGTGGTGGTGGATAAATTGAGCAAGTATGCTCATTTCATTCCCCTCCGACATCCCTACACAACAGTGACAGTGGCTTCAGCCTTCATCACGGAGGTGGTCAGATTACATGGAGCCCTTGAGACAATAGTATCAGATAGAGACAAGGTGTTCCTCATCCATTTTTTGGAGAGAGTTGTTCAAATTGCAAGGAACAGTGCTGAAAAGGAGTACAGCTTACCACACTCAGACGCATGGCCAGACGTAAGTAGTGAATAGGAGCTTAGAGACATACCTAAGATATTTCGTATCGGAGACACCCAAGCTCTAGGCTAAGTGGCTATCATGGGTTGAGTACTAGTACAACACCTCTTTTCATTCTGCTTCTCAGATGACTCCGTTCAAGGTGTTGTACGGAAGGGATCCTCCCCACTTGGAACACTTTGGGAGAGCAGTACTCCCATTTCTTCAGTGCAGGAGTACTTGGAGGAGAGAGATAGAGTGCTAGAAGAATTGAAGAGACACCTACAGAGGGCTCAACAGATTATGAAGAGACAAGCGGAAGGGCATAGGAGGGACATCAAGTTTGGAGTGGGTGAGAGTATTTTTGAAGTTCCGACCGTATAGACAGAAGGCAGTCGCCAATAGGAGGAACGAGAAGCTGGCTCCAAGGTACTTTAGGCCTTAAGAAGTGTTGGAGAAGATCGGAGCAGTAGCATATCGACTAAAACTATCACCAATGGCGATTATACATTCAGTTTTTCACATATCAAAGTTGAGAAAGGCCATTGGTGACTATACAACCAATCCCGAGCTACCGGTGACACTTACTGAAGATTTAGATGTGGTTTTGGAACCCTTAGAGCTGATGGGGGTTCGCTAGAAAGAAGAGGGAACTAAGGAAGTGTTGATCCAATGAAAGAACTTTTCTGACTACGAGGCCACGTGGGAGTCATACGAGAGGGTGAAAAAGCAGTTTCATGATTTTCACCTTGAGGACAAGGTGATTCTTTGGGAGGACGGTATTGATGTATCGGCTCAGGCTGAACCGGCCCAGACGGTTCAGCAGGTCAACAGGAGGCGGTATTCACCCGCCTCTCTTGGCTTGGCCCGCCCATAGGGGGGCCCCACTTGTCTGTTGTGTTCGAAATTTAAACAAAGGGGGCGGCTAGGGCTTGGGAGGGAAATCATATAAAGAAATCTTTTGTATTAAAGGGGATGAGGGGGGTTAGGAGTTTTTCATGTTTTTATTGATTGAAATTAGAGTTTCAAGGAGGCTTGGGCTCTAGACAATCTTGTCTAGAGATTTGGGAGAGACGATCCTCCTTTCGAATTGAGGATATCTTGTATCTTTGCTTTGCTCTTGTTTTTCTTTGATTGTTATAAGATTTACTACGTTTGTTTGTTCTTCCACCACGATTCTCTCATTTTTTCTCGTTGTTTTTACTAATTATTGATTAGGTTTACTTGCGAACTCAAGTAAATCCGATAGCATTACTTGCGAACTCAAGTATTTCCTATCAGCAACATCTAGATCCATATATTTTTACATCACAGGTACATGAACAATTTGGGGCTTGTTTGATTGGGTTTATTCTTAATTGCTCTACTAATAAGAGAATTAAGAAAGATGCTTTATATAGGTCACACTCTTTGTTCTACTCGTCCAAAAAAATATCTTATAAAGCAAATTGAAGGCAAAACCATCCTGCTTTTCACCCAAATAGCACGGACAGGTGTTTTACACAGCTTAGTTTAACGCAAAACTAACAAAAAAGACAAATTCATTTTCTATGTCCTTCAATACCGCATCTTATTTATATTTATTGAATACTTTTTGGTTAATTAAAGGAAATGAAATGCTATAAAAACATAGTTGCAGATAATTTTGAGGGTAGCTCTTGAATCTCACTTTTCCTTGAGCTCATTGCACAGCACAATTGAACCTTATGTTGCATAAGGAAAACCATGTAGGATTATAAATTCAATCTTAATGAATATTCTATTGTGGCTCCTCCGAATCTGAATAAACTGTTATTTACTGAAAAATCTTACAACTAATCAGCAAAGTACGATCAATAATGCAAGAAGAGATTTCAAAACCCTTTCTTTTTTAACCAAAATAATAACCATAAATGCACAGCACACGGTCAGAAAGGCAATGCTTAGCATTCAAATCATAAGCAATAAAGGAATGGTCGATATGCATTTTACCAACCACATAACTACAGTGCATAGAAACTGCTAAGGAACTAGAAGTAAATCCAGTTAGAGTCTCACCAAACCAATTACAAGCAAGAATGTCCAAAATAATACTATCCCACCAACACTCGTTGAAGTTTGGTAGCATGTGACGAAAAGTAAGCTGAAATTTATGAAATATATCAAGATATTTCTGAAATATGTTAGAAAATGACAAAAAATGAAAAACATAAAAAATCTTCTGAGAAAGATTGAAAGGTTACCTCCATCAGTTCAAAACCTATTGATAAGACCCACAAAAGAGATTGATTTCGTATCATTATGGCCTTACCCCACCAACCAAATATATGTGCAAGAACAAACTCATCAAATAATGTCTCCTACAAAAACCTAAAACGCTAAATCAGTAACTTGAAAGACAAAAAAATAATAATGAAATCTATATACAATGTACTAAAAAGAAAATTTGATGGTGATTGAAGACATCATACATAAACATTGTTAAACCTGCTTTTGGGATTATCAGGCACATATATACGACAATCCGTTCCATAAGACCTTTCAGGCAGTTCTGCAAAAAGATAAAAGAAAGACATAAGAATTTAACCTAAAAATAATAAGGGGACAGTTGTGAACACTAACACATGAATTAATTACCAATTCCAAGGTCAGGGTGAAGAAATTTCATGAATCTACGAGCATCATCACGATTCTATGCAAGGTAAAGAAAGAGTAGACAATTAGAAAAATTTTTAATGTACATAATTAAAAATAAAATTGTAGAATTTGCCTAATTGGTAGGTTCAATTTTCAAATCCTTCTAGAATTTAAGCTCCGTCATGTAAGAAATATCAAAGTATACAATCACTAGGTTTGAAACAAACCTGAAAAAGCAAGAAAGTAAGGGCAACAAGGTAAACAACAGCCATTCCATGGACTAAACGCCAAATAGCAGGATGCGGCCTAGTAAGTACCCTGAAGAATAGAATGAAATCAGAAAAACAGAAGATTCACAATTCATGATGGTTAATTAAACATAGTGCAAGGTAGACACAACACACAAAGCTTTAAAAGTTGCATTACTAAATTAATCTGAACTTAAACAGATGGCTGCAATTAAAATCATCAATATTAGATTTTATGATTGTTACAGAAAAATAAAAAATAAAATTAAAAAATTAAAAAAAAAAAAAAATAGCAAAGGAATGTTAGGACAAAAAAATTGAAAACTAAAAATATAAACAAAAGTAGCCATAATAGTAATGAGATATCTCATATAAACTATATTACATATTTCTAATTAGATCAATAATAGATAAACAACAATCCAGGCAAAGTTTAATAATGCAATTATGAGAAATTATGCATCCAAGGATCTAAATTTCTTGATCTTATTACTACCTTAAAACAAGAGAGAGTGCCTATTCAACCTTTTTTTAGAATAATATTAACACAATTTGAACGAAATTAGTGTACAGGTAAAAATAAAAAGTTAGTACTAACCACAGTAAGCACTAAGGAAATTTTACTCACGTTGGAGGTGCTTGGAGCAAGGAATAAGCTAGAAAGACTGCAATCATGGCACAAACCCCCCTGAAGAATGCCAAAACAAATAGTAGACTTGAAAATTATTAATTACTAAGGCAGCAATGACCAACAATAATTGAAATAAATAATACGGAAAAAAAAAAGCAATACAATTGGGGAAAACACATAAGTTTCTTTTTGAAGCTCAACAAAGGAAAATAAAACTCCAAAGAAAAAAAAAAAAGCAAACAAGTTAAAAAAAAAAACTAATGTAAATTATGCCCGTTAGATTGAAACTCTTATAAGACCATCGAGTCAATGGTGAAATATTATATCAGCATAAAAATATGCAACAAATTACTGACTAAATATTTTAAAATTAGTTGATAAAAGTACCTCTTAACCGATGTAACAAGAGCATTTGAAGTCATGCTTTCTGGATCAAAAGCTCCACTTGACCAACTATCAAATAGGTGGTTCCACAGTTATCACATAATAAGGCTAATAAAGCAGAAATGACATATTAAACTATTGTTAGACAACATCATCATGAAAAATTAGGAATGGGAATTAAAGTTGTGAGCCTACCCTGAACCGAAAGCTAACCAAGGTTCAAAGGTAAATTCAGAAGCTACAAAAGAATAACTTGTGGGTTTGCTGTTATGTTGAACATTTTCTATGAAAATTTCAGAAAAAATTTCAGAAAAGAACAACCTCAAAAATAAGTTCATGAAAAGGAATCAAGTATAACTAGACAACAAGAACATGCTTCTTTGTATGTTATGGGGCATGATTGCTTTTAATCACAGCCTATATTGTACGATAAAATGGAACATGAGAGATCGAGAAAGGATGAACCATATGTAAATGAAATGTAAAAATAACTTTAGAGCACATCTAGATTCCTTTATAATTCATTCAAAATAAAATTAATGGAATCCCAATAAAGATTTAAACCAATTTTGAACACAAAATTTTCAAAAGCAAGGCAGCAAATACAAGGTTCTAGATGGAAGATAATTAACATGATAAAAATATCTAGCCCATGTCAAAATGTCTTGTTTGCAAAGAAGTTTTACAACTGCTGCAAACTTGAAAATCCCAAAAGAAGAATCAAGGAACTATAGCACTAACTAGTGAAAGAAAAATAGCTTTATTAAGAAGATTGTGTCAAAGCTACTCTAAAGTGTCAATATGATTGTCGACAAACAAAAAGTTAGATGCAGTTGTCAAAGATGATAGATGCTAAAGGAAGATATCAAACTAGAAATAGCCACTGGATATTTTAAGCAAAAAAAAATTATAACAACACTAAAGACAACTACTAAAAAAAGGTGTATCACATGGTAGACATAAAGTTATATCAGAATTAAAAATATTAAAAAAAAAGACTAAAATTTTCAGGAACTTGTCTTGATAGTATTACAGAAGCAGCAAGGCAAGAAATTTGAAGGTGAAGAGTGTGACTGGATACAACATAAGACCAATTGTCAAATGCTTACATCAATAAAACAATGTAATCATATCTTATTGTATAACAGATATAGACATTAAATTATAAACCTATTGTAATATTAAGTGAGGATGTGTGCAACTTCTAAGTTGAAGCCAAGCATTAAAATGCTTGCAAGGTGGCAACAAATCAATGGGGTTGGAGCTTTTGCTCATCGCCGCCGGCCCATGCTTATGCATGCTAACCTATTAATTTCTAACAAAATTGACAAATTGCATTTGGTGCTTGCCTCTCCCATAGAAAAAAAAAATGACAAGAAATCTAATAAAAAAGTTTTATCCAGGAACACCTTCGCAGGCGTAAGCCTAATTGCCTATGTTATCCTTCAGTACATGTGGTTCTGCATCAAATTGTAGCAAGGAAAATATATATATATATATGAATGTTATGGAAAAAAAATAAGAAACACATAAAACAACCATTCATCTATCGGATTAAAAAGCAAATGCATTTTGTGCAACAAAATAGAACTTAAGAACATTTAATTCAACTTATAAATAAGGACATACATTATAACACATGAGCCAAACAATAGCAACGAAATTGTTCGTGGCTTGTACGCCCATGCTGTCCATGGGTCAAGTTCACCAAAATCGCTGATAAATTGTATATCATCTTTTTGAATAATAAAGTCCCTTTTACTTGCTTTCTTCATGCCATTGAAATCCATGATAGCAGCCTATTTGCAAAGATACTAAGATCACCAACTACTTCAAAATAACACTAAGAAAAGCCCAATGAAGGTAACATTCAAGTAGGCACAATTCAGATTATTATTATTTTTTCTCTCCCATAAGATCAAGAAAAGCAAACTTGATTTAAAAGAAATCGTAGTCCCTTATACTGCTTTGCTTAATAGAAAACCTGAATCAAAGGCAGTAGAAGAACATTTTCTGATGAAGTGATCAAATTTTGAAAAATCAACACCAAACCACATAAAAAACATCTAGCATAAGAGCAGAATTGACAGAAGACCTGAGCGTTAAACTAATTTAGTCCTCCACCAATAACAACCACGCCCCACCACCAAAAAAAGCTAATGAAATGAATTAAAATATAGTAAAGTTGGGTAATGATTTCTTTAAAACTCTCAACGGTCAACCACGGAGACACAGACCTACAGAAGCATCCATTTCACCTGAAAAATGATGACAGCTCCGAAATTTTCTAGAAAAAAGAGGGTCGCTTATCACCATAAATCATCAAAATTCTAACATGCAAGGGAATAAAAGAGCCTTCACGCACAGCTACAGCAAAGCCAAATGCCTATTCGAGGAAAGAAAATTACAGCTTCTGAATTTATTTGACAACGACCAAAGAGAATTAGCGTCCCCCTTAAATAAGAAAATAACAGACTACTCCAAACTAATGCCATGAAATCATCACTTACAACACAATGCAGTTTTATTAATATGTACAGTCTAGAAAGAAAGCGGGTAGAAATAAATTGATGTATGTTATCCAAAAATCAAAATAGTAAATAGATAAAAAAGAAAATACCATAAACAGAGTACAAGAAATATATAAAAAATCAGAAAAAAAGGTGTTTCTTTTGGGTAATTTTAATTGAGACACTTCGGAACAAAATCTTTATTTGCCAAGAAAGATCATCAAAAATAAAATAAAAAATAAAAAAAACATTAAAATGACCACTGTAATGTGAAAAAATAATGCATATAGTGGTATCTCAGGGCATAGCCAAAGCGAAATATATTACCTATAAATCAAGATTCTGAGAAAGAGGATTGATTGCGTACAGTTGCTGGCGGGGGAATGGAGTGATAACTTGGAAAATGCGGGGAGAGAAAGAGAGGTGGAAGAGACAGAAGAGGGGTGGAGGAGAGAGAAAGTAGGGTAACAAATTAAATACATAAACGGGAAACAAAACAGAGGAAAGGCGGTGCCATTTTAGTCCCTTCTTAATTTTTGGTTATCACATGCAGTTGCAGGAGAAGACGGGCGTCCTGGCCGTAGGATAGAGAGAGGAGCAGATCCCTACCGTCGGAGGAGATCCACTCCAAATCAGAGCCGTTTCGTATTTGGAGAGAGAGAGAGAGAAACATAGATCTTATAAGGATAGTGTACGTCGGTCAAAGAAAGCGTCATGATATAAGCAGGGGATTTCCCTCAACGTAACGGGACATCACAATAATTCCTTTTTTTACCCTTACAAGTAATAGTTTAATTTCTTCCAATGTGATATATGAGGAAACAAATCTATGTATTTATATCATGAATAATAAGGATTGATGCGATATAAATAAATTTTACATAAATTTTGGATCTCAAAATACTCAAAAAGTGAATAAAATTTTCAAAAATTAATTCCATTACTAAAATAATTCTAAATCTTGAAAGTTCAGTTAAAAATAATGTTCTCATCATATTGTTAATCTAAGGATAATAACCAAAACTCAGCTCAAATTTCAACCTAAATTCCAGGAAATCAGCAAAAATCCCGCATACGTACCGATTCAGCACCGCTTGAGTAGTTTCTATGTAATATCTGTGCGAAATTCGCCTCGATCGTCACTCTTCGATGTTGTTAAATACCCGTTGCTCACACGAAGCTTGGACTCGCTCTCTGCTCCCCCCCCCCCCGCTCTCTGCTTCTCCTTCCGAAATCCACGAATCCTTGCATCTGACCTCCTCTGCCTCTGAGCCTATCGGAAGCTCCTATAGCTCGAGCACCCTTTATCCCGACCCCTTTGCTTCTTTCGATCCAGAGAAAGAGAGAAATAGAGAGAGCAAGGAATAGAGAGGGGAAGAGGCCATCCACTTACCTGAAACCGATCATCCTTCCTCCTTTCTCTGCGAACCGACCCCGACGGGATCTCCCCGAGCTCGCCGACACCTCCACTATTTCTTCCCATCCTAGCTGATCCCCTCTCTGCCATCCGAACTCCACCTGCCATAGCTGAATCCCTCATATCTCCTTCCCGAGCCCCTAGCCGAACTCCTCACCCGACCGACTCCCTTCCCCTTTTTATTCTATGTTAGGATTTTGTTGCAACTCAAGCTCACAAGTTTTATATTTTTGATGATAACAAACATCTTCATATCTCATATTATTTTTATTCTATATTTGTTTGTGTGTATAATAATATTTCTGGAATACCATGCAACATCAAACAAAGAATCAGAGCTCAAGAATTGGTTGAATAATTTTATGTTGTTAATGGTCTGTAATATTCATTGATGTAATTTTTGATTTCTTGAGTTAAGTTCTGTAAGGGAGTATGCTTGCTTGGTGACCATGCACACACACACTCAAGGGAGTGAGATCTACTCAAATTCAGAAGATCAAGTTTTGAGATTGTCCAGGACGATCCTTTATGATATTGGAAAAGAGCTACCAATGACAGTTTAGGCAAAGATTTAAGTTTAATTTTTTGTTCTAATCGTCCCGAAAGATCAATATAAATCATGCCTAAATTTATCCTGTGATTAGGGGATTAATTATGGTTAAAATTTTCAATCCGATCATCCTGGACGATATGTATATCGTAAAGGACGATGTTTGTCGACATACTTGATTTTCCTAAATCGTCCAAGCCGAAATATCATAATTTTTCTTTTAATCGGCCCCGACGATCCACAATATCGTCCTAGACGATCTGTATAAATTTGTACTAATCGTCCTGGACTATCCTAATATTGTCCGGGACTATCAGGTCAAATTCTGCACATCGTACTTGACGATTCTTTCGATCGTCCAGGATAATTTTTTGCGCCAGAATTGAGTTTTTTAGGATTTTTTTAAGCCATCTTTTTAAGTGTATCATATAGGACGATCATGCGATCGTCCTGGATGATAATGTCAGTTTGGTGCATTTAAGAGTCTTTTTGGAGCTCTTCTATTTAAGCTTTGTCAAGGCACTTGATATGTGTCTTTGGCAGCCATTGAGGCTTCGTTTCTTCTGGATAAAACTTGAAGAGATAGCTTGAAAGGGAGAGATGAAAGGGTGGAGTTTAAGAGAGGGAGAAGAACCTTGGAGGGGGTTTCAAGGGAGTGTGGAGGGGGTTTTATATGATTGCTCCGGCAAGCTTGCACCTTAGTACCATCAGATTAAAGGCTTGTCTTGAGGGAAGTTTTTAGAAGAAGAATCTCTCTTTGGTGTCAAAGGATCCGGCTACTCTGCCGCATCAGGGAAGGTGGAAGTAATTTTGTAAGAGCTTCTCCGCCTAGCTTTGGGGGCTAAAGGAGAGACACTAAGTTTAGTGCAATACTCAGAGGGTGCCTTTGATGAGTGGACGTAGGTCAAGTTGGACCGAACCACTATAAATATTGTGTGTTCTTTCCTTTGTTATTTATACATTTAATTTTCGCACTTTGTTTTTTTTGTGGTGAATTTTGGTTTGGTTTCAATTTCTGTTTTTTATTGAAAGATATTTTTTAAAATATCAATTCCCCCCTCCCTCCTCTTGGTTAGCCTCGAGACTAGTTCATAAGGGCTTAACATTCATGATGAACTTTCAAGTGGTATCAGAGCGGAATTCATAAAATTAAGTTTTTGAAAACTTTTGAATTTCAATCCATGGCTAATTTTTGTAATCGTAATATCGCGAAAGATTTTTCAATCATCCGACCACCTTTATTTGAAAATTTTACTTTTGATTTTTAGAAAATTTATAAGTATACTTTTTTGAAATCAATTGATTTCCGAATGTGGCAAATGATTTTAACTGGTTATTCCTTACCATCACGTGTTATAGATGAAATTAAAACTGATATTCCTTTTAATCAATGGAATAGGGAAGAACAAATCAATGCTCAATTAAATGCAAAATCTTTAAACTGTTTTTTCTGTGCTTGAAATTCTGAAGATTGTATGTTAGTATCCATGTGCACTACTGGTAAAAAAATTTGAGATAAATTACACATCATATACGAAGGCAGTAGTGAAATCAAGCAAACCAAGTTGAATATTTTAATGCATAATTATGAATTATTTTACATGAAACCTTATGAGATGATCTTATACATGTATACTAAGTTTATTCAAATTGTGACATCATTGCATGCTTTAGGTAAAAAATGTTCAAACCTTAAAAAAGTCAATAAAATTCTACGTTGTTTATTTGACAAATTTGATGTCATAATTGTTGTTATTTGTGAATCAAAAGATTTGAATGAATATTCTACTGATAATTTGATTGGCTCACTCATTGCCTACAAGCAAAATTTGTGTCAAAGACTTTTGGATGTAGGTGAAACGATAGTGCTAAATGCTGAAGATACGGAGAAAAGTGGCTTAGTAAGTGATAAAAGTGATAATATAACAAGCAAATTGGAAAGACTACTAAAGTACAAGCAAAAGCATCAACGAAAGTCGTTAATGACACCAAATCAAAAGATACGCAATGACATCAAATTGAAAAAAGATACACAAAGTGCATCAAAAATTAAAAGATGCGTAAAGTGCGCCAAAAAACTGACAAGAGGCATAAAATGAGTCCATAAAAATTAAGCTTACATTTCTTGTACTTCTTAAAAGCTTAAGAAAATCTTTGATATTTTTTATACTTGAGCTTAAAAATCATGATTCCTGATTCACCATTTTTTCTCATTAATCTTCTATTAGATATGTTTTATGAAAGGAATTTTGAAAAATTAGTGTTTCTTTTTCTAATTTGTTCCTTTATTTGGATATTGGATTAAAAAGTTTTTAATCCTTTAAAAGAACTTGAGCATGGATTAATAATTTCTGAATTTCTAACCTTTCTAGGTTATGCATTGTCAATACATTTCTTACTAAAGTTTTAAATAAAAT